ATATAATGTTGAAATATTATCTGCAATAGATAAGTTACAGTGTATAATCATGTTTGACATGTCAATTGCGACAGGGGTCACTGTTCGAATCGACGATGGTAATAATACAAAATTTTAGATATTGACATTTGTTTTAAATTATATATATATATATATTCCTATCAATTTGGGCGCGCCGGTCACCGGTGGCCCCCATGACGTCACCGCCAAGTTGAAGTGCCGCTCACCGGTGACCCCCGGTGGCATTCAACGTGTTGAACGCGTCCCATGCTTCGATACCTATGCGTCGCAGCCCTCTGTTCCTGGAAATGCGAGTTAATTTACCGAAGCGTTTGTTTTCTATTCGTGCTGTTTAAGAATGGCTAAACAAAGCGACGGTGTACAACAAGCATATTATGACACGGGCGCTAGACTGCCGGCCGAAAAATGTTCCTCTCATCACCATTTCGAACCATCACAGTTGCTTCGACGATCCAGGCATCTGGGGTAAGTTCTATCCGGCGTTACGACGAGATTACACAGTGGAACTCCATTTATGCCAGGCCTCCCAGCGTTAGAGCGCCGATGCGGAAGCTCGATAAATCCGCGAACCGTTTAATTCAGAAGCGGTGCGAGTCAATTGAAAAAGTAATATGGCTCGATCTGTCAGCAATTTTCTTTGGCTTCTCAACCCCTTTTGGTTCACGCTGCTTTTGCAGTAAACGCTTCGCGATTACAATGAACGTTCACATTGTTGGAACTAATATACACAAATATATTTTTATGGACGGAAATATATTTTCACGAATATACTTTTAGCTAGACTTGCACCGGGGGATGACCCTCGTGGCATTCAACGTGCTAAAAGGCAGCAAACTAAAAAATAATATATATAATAAATATATATAATAATATATAATATATATAATAAATATATATAATAATATATAATATATATAATAATATATAATATATAATAAAAATAATATATAGCATTGTGCTTATTCAACTGAGAATTAAGTAGGAAAATTCTCGGACGACGTATCTTAATTGTAGGAATTTATATTACCGCCATCTTCGAGATTTTTTTTTCTAAATCTAAAATTTCCAAGCTATTATGCCGGCGTCAAACAAAAGAATCATATCTGAGATCTGCGGTATATCTCACATGGTGTTAAGCGACGGTAGTTAGCGGTCTCGTTAGCACGATTCGAAAATTGCGCGGGGACGCATTATAATAATTCATAGTTAGCGACCGTGGGCCGCGGCAATAGTAAAATATGTACCCGGCAGATCGGAGATAACCATTCACGGGCCGAACGGGTACACAATAAGACACTGATGTCTACGAAGCTCTCTGCCTGCGGCGGTGACTCTGCACTTGCTGTGTCAGCCGAATCCAAGCCAGCAGAAGCTATGGGGAAACGAACGATGAGGAACGACGGGGAGAGAAGGGTCGATGGGAATCATGCCTAGGGAGAAGCGTGCTAGAGGTGCATGCGAAGAAACTTCTGTTCGGATCACCTGTTTCGGGCGGATATTCTTATTGTATGATAATGAAATACGTTTTATTTTTAACGACCTGTTGCGAGACTATTGCTGCAATCCTCGTGGGATCCTCGCGGTTCTTCTGTTTCTAGCTGTTTGATTTCTTTCTGGTCGAAAGATGCATTCCTTTGGAATGTTCTAGTATCTTTCATGCTATTCCTCAAGAGTCTAATGGATTGTACCTGCGTTCGAAGAGGGTTCAATAATTTTTTCTCGCACAGAAATATTATATATTATATTACATAGAAATATTAGAAGTATTATATATTTATATTTATTATATTATATTTATTTTGTATTATATTTATATTTATAATTGTTTCTCGCATAGAAATATTATATAGTAAATATTATATAGTATATTATATAGAAATATTAGAAGTATTATATATTTATATTTATTATACTTATACTTATACTTATACTTATACTTATACTTATACTTATACTTATACTTATACTTATACTTATACTTATACTTATACTTATACTTATACTTATACTTATACTTATACTTATACTTATACTTATACTTATACTTATACTTATACTTATACTTATACTTATACTTATACTTATACTTATACTTATACTTATACTTATACTTATACTTATACTTATACTTATACTTATACTTATACTTATACTTATACTTATACTTATACTTATACTTATACTTATACTTATACTTATACTTATACTTATACTTATACTTATACTTATACTTATACTTATACTTATACTTATACTTATACTTATACTTATACTTATACTTATACTTATACTTATACTTATACTTATACTTATACTTATACTTATACTTATACTTATACTTATACTTATACTTATACTTATACTTATACTTATACTTATACTTATACTTATACTTATACTTATACTTATACTTATACTTATACTTATACTTATACTTATACTTATACTTATACTTATACTTATACTTATACTTATACTTATACTTATACTTATACTTATACTTATACTTATACTTATACTTATACTTATACTTATACTTATACTTATACTTATACTTATACTTATACTTATACTTATACTTATACTTATACTTATACTTATACTTATACTTATACTTATACTTATACTTATACTTATACTTATACTTATACTTATACTTATACTTATACTTATACTTATACTTATACTTATACTTATACTTATACTTATACTTATACTTATACTTATACTTATACTTATACTTATACTTATACTTATACTTATACTTATACTTATACTTATACTTATACTTATACTTATACTTATACTTATACTTATACTTATACTTATACTTATACTTATACTTATACTTATACTTATACTTATACTTATACTTATACTTATACTTATACTTATACTTATACTTATACTTATACTTATACTTATACTTATACTTATACTTATACTTATACTTATACTTATACTTATACTTATACTTATACTTATACTTATACTTATACTTATACTTATACTTATACTTATACTTATACTTATACTTATACTTATACTTATACTTATACTTATACTTATACTTATACTTATACTTATACTTATACTTATACTTATACTTATACTTATACTTATACTTATACTTATACTTATACTTATACTTATACTTATACTTATACTTATACTTATACTTATACTTATACTTATACTTATACTTATACTTATACTTATACTTATACTTATACTTATACTTATACTTATACTTATACTTATACTTATACTTATACTTATACTTATACTTATACTTATACTTATACTTATACTTATACTTATACTTATACTTATACTTATACTTATACTTATACTTATACTTATACTTATACTTATACTTATACTTATACTTATACTTATACTTATACTTATACTTATACTTATACTTATACTTATACTTATACTTATACTTATACTTATACTTATACTTATACTTATACTTATACTTATACTTATACTTATACTTATACTTATACTTATACTTATACTTATACTTATACTTATACTTATACTTATACTTATACTTATACTTATACTTATACTTATACTTATACTTATACTTATACTTATACTTATACTTATACTTATACTTATACTTATACTTATACTTATACTTATACTTATACTTATACTTATACTTATACTTATACTTATACTTATACTTATACTTATACTTATACTTATACTTATACTTATACTTATACTTATACTTATACTTATACTTATACTTATACTTATACTTATACTTATACTTATACTTATACTTATACTTATACTTATACTTATACTTATACTTATACTTATACTTATACTTATACTTATACTTATACTTATACTTATACTTATACTTATACTTATACTTATACTTATACTTATACTTATACTTATACTTATACTTATACTTATACTTATACTTATACTTATACTTATACTTATACTTATACTTATACTTATACTTATACTTATACTTATACTTATACTTATACTTATACTTATACTTATACTTATACTTATACTTATACTTATACTTATACTTATACTTATACTTATACTTATACTTATACTTATACTTATACTTATACTTATACTTATACTTATACTTATACTTATACTTATACTTATACTTATACTTATACTTATACTTATACTTATACTTATACTTATACTTATACTTATACTTATACTTATACTTATACTTATACTTATACTTATACTTATACTTATACTTATANTCTAATATAGAAATATTAGAAGTATTATATAGTGTAGTATTGTACACTTGAAAATTGAAGTATTGCAATGAAAATATCTATCACGACCGTAATTGCCAATCTTTGGTAATGAAAGGTTATCAAGTAGCGTTATCGGAGGGCTAAGATTGATCAATAATTTAATTGTGCACGCGTTACGACACTTTTCCCTTGTGTTCGCGTTAGCGTTTCATCGTAAAAAAACGAAAATCCGTGATACAATAGAAATTACTTATCGCGTTCCGATAAAATAACAGTTATTATCTGGACGCTTCCTGGTTCACAAAAGAGACGTCTCATTGATGATATCAATCTTCATCACGATGACAGCGATCAAGTGGCGACACAAAATTCTAATCATTCGCGTATACATGCGTTAAACATCACAGATTTTTGGGA